TTCCCTACAACTGAAAATATTTAGACAAATAATCAACAAAAAGAGAGCCTACGATTAGCACAGAAAGAACACACTGCTTATCTGGTTCCCATACCTTAATATCTTAAGGGTATCAAGGTTGTATAAATTTCTGGTGAAGAGAAGGCCAGTAACTTATACCATTTCATAGTGTAGACAACTCTTCTTCCACTATTATAATTCATTATACTTGTATTATAACTCACGTTAGAAGTATTTTAGTTTTAATTTCAAAAAGTATTAATAAAAAGTGCACACAAAGTGCACTATTGGGAACACTTGAGCACTGGGATGAAGTGACAGAATTTCTTTTCGCAATAAAGCTAATAATTCTTGAAATAGAAAACAAACAATGTTGGAACAGCATTTTGCTTGTCTCAAGCTAAACTGCTTGCAAGACGTAACTTTTATAACAGCAAAATCCTTTTTTTGCAGAATTGATATAGCAGTTTAAATTGACTTGTAACAATGTAAGCTTTGGGGAAATACCTATTTTTATACCGATCCTGTCTTCCAGTGGACCAGAACTCTTTATTTACTGCTAATTCACTTTTGTGAATATATTATCAGGCAGTTTGCTGACTAATAGCTATACAAAACAGAATCACTCAAGAAGTACTTTAAATTGAAACAGATAAAGTACAATTTCTTACTTGATAAATTTTGCGGGTACATAAGGCATCCTCAAGATCTTACCACCCAAATGGCAAATTAAGGTAATACCTCAATTTCTAACTCTCCCCCAGTTAAATACAAGAAAAAGACCAGAGTTTCTAATAAGCATTCAATCTTCAAAATTATTACAGGAATATCTTTCCTAGGGAAGGCAGTATCACTAACAAAAATAGAAAACACACACTCACTAAATACACACATTAAACCCAATCTAACTTGGAACCTCACTGTCTAAAGCAAACACATGCTTTAGGTCTTCTTGCATTCAAAGCTTCTCCTGTTTCATTTAGTTTTCCTTACAAACATATGGGAAGATGTTAATTCTAAGCATTTATTATTTTATACCTCAATATAGAATACAAATTTTCATGCTTGCAGTTTCTGTAAAATAGATTTACCAGTAATAATATAAATTACAGCTTCAGGAGATAAGGAAAAGGCACTGAAAATGGCACTACCACCCATTCCAGATAGCAGTTTCTGAAATACTTGCAAAGTTTTTCAACTTACAGGCCTCTAAGAGCCAGGATCATAAAGAGCAGACAGTAAAACAAAAAAAAAGTTACATTTTGCACACTTGCATTTTGCAGTACAGCTTCTGCCACCTGTGCAAAGTAAGAACACTAATTATTTTACAACATCCTGTGCTGAATTATTTTTGCTGCTTTTTTCAAGTCAATACTTACCTATGCAGAAATCTTTATGAAAGCCATGACAATATCATCAATTAAAAAAAACCAAACCAAACCAAACTAAACTCACCACCAAAAAAAACCAGAACTACCCCACGAAAAAAGCTTTGGCCTTTTGGCACAGAGAAAAGTAAAATTATTATTCTACTGGGCAACTTTTTTAAGTTTACCTGTATTGTTTATCAGTGACAATCCTCAAGCATTAACTAGAGGAAACAACCTTTTTTGCTTTACAGTCCAAGATCATTAATACTGAACAACGTTTACACCCCAGGTGTCTCCCAAATAAAGACCATAAGCTGCACAAAAATACACTAGACAATATTTATCTATTTAGTTTTGTTGCTAGTTCTGCTTTGTTAAAACTGAGTCATGACCCAAATTAGTTCCCTGAATAACTCAATCCACATTTAGATTATGATGTAAATCATGACTTAAGAAAAAAATAAAAAAATTAACTTTTCCATTAGACTAAAATTCCACAGAACAATGACAAGTTATAACCTGTACTATGACTAGAATTTTAAGAAATTATTTATTAGCATGCTAGACAAATTAATATTTGATGCACTGTATTTACCATTTTGCAAACCCATCCACAGTTGCTTATGATCCTTTTTTTGCATCTCATTGATTACTTGGCTTTTGTGCTTTAATGCATCTGCTTCTTTTATAGAAGCCATAAAATGAGCTTCAATCACATCCTTAGAATGGCAGTGTAGAAGATCCTTTTCTGGAAAATTCTACAAAGAGACAAGATAGATCAAGATAAATAAACACATCACATACCTTAGAAGATGAAGAATAAGTGATAATTTTAATCAGGTTTATAGTTATAAAAAATAAGCACAATGGAATGTGCTTATGGAAAAATGTAACAACCATTCTCTCACTCTGCTGACAAGAAAGGCTTTGCAGTGAAAAATGTTTCAGGGAAAATAGAAACCTAAACAGTTTTCTGTAAAAACTAGAAATTACTCTAAATCACCCACCCTCAACTTGATAAATACATTTACATACATCACTGAATGTATTTAGGCCCTTATGTCCAAAATTTAGGAAATGAAGAGTTTTAAAATGTTTTCAAGCAGATATGTAATTCTCTGGCAATGAACAGGAGAAAAGGGGAAGTACATAACAAACACCAAATTCTTATTGACTCTCAATGGCAGGTTGGCATCCATTTCTATGCAGGACTTTTATCATCATCCACATATATGAATATACATGAACTATAGCATATACACCATTTACACATCTCCTTAGATACTAGAAATCCTTGTCAGCTCCAACTTTACCTAATACATGTGCCTGTTGCAACTTGATTTTATACTCCTTTTATTTGGTTAGAGCTGGCACCACTACATTCTGCATTGCACATGCACAGTTATTCGTCAGGCAAAGTGGGATATTTTTCAAAGACTTTTACACTATAGTTACGTGTCACAGTAAGAGCAGTATATTGCTGGGGGGGGGACCAAAAAAACCCCAAACCATATATTCCCTCCTCCACTTAAAACCAGAAAAAATAGCGAACACTTCTTCAAACTACAGGAGCTCAAAATATTCATGAACCACTAACAGTTGGCAATATGAAAGGCAGCTGGGTATAGCCTCACCTGAAGGAAATTCTAAGTACAACAACGATAAGTCCCTCCTCATTAGGTCATTGAAAAGAGTTGGAAATTAAATAATGGAATTTCATATAATATAATAGTGATTCCTCCTTGTGACAGCGAAGCCAGTCTCTGGAAACTGTGGATCAAAAGGATGAGTATCTTCCAAAACCGGGAGTATAAAGGGAAGACAAGACTTCTAGTATCTTTTCCACTTAAATATACAAGGTCTGGTGTTGAACTGAAAAGGAAGTGCTATTGTTACTTAGGACTGATGTATGTGGAGCTGACTAAAATCTAAGTAAAGTCTGGTAACCAATCCAGAAGAAAAGAACAGTCAGAAATAGCATACTTCAAGATCAAGAAAGTTCCTTAAATACAAGAATTCAAAGTGAGACACTGGCATCCCTCAACAAAAGATCACAGTGGAATGTACCTAATGCTGAGCAAGACAGGAACCTAGGAACTTATTTTCACAATTAAAAGCCGAAGTTTTAGCTAAGTTTATGATACTGTCCTGGGTTCAGCTACAGCAGTCATTTTTTCTCCTTCTTAGTAGCTGGTGCAGTGCTGTGGTTTTGACTTTCAGCCTGGGAACAACACTGATAACACTGATGTTTTTAGTTGTTGCTCAGTAATGTTTACTCTGACCAAGGACTTTCTCAGTCTCATGCCCAGGGAGGAGGGGAAGCCGGGAGGAAGCAGAGACAGGACACCTGTCCCGAACTGGCCAAAGGGGTATTCCATACCACAGCACGTCATGCCCAGTATATAAACTGGGGGGAGTCACCCGGAAGGCCCAGATCGCTGCTCGGGTCGGGCTGGGTATCAGCAGGTGGTGAGCAATTGTATCCTCTCCCCTTGTTATTTCCCTTATCCTTTTTGTGGTAGCAGTAGTGGTTTGTATTATACCTTAGTTATTGGACTGCTCTTATCTCAACCTGTGTGAGTTACATTCCTCCGATTCTCCTCCCCATCCCTCTGGGAGTGGGGGGAGGAAAAAGGGGGAGTGAGCAAGTGGCTGCGTGGTTCCAAGTTGCCGGCTGGGCTTGAACCACGACAGATAACAACAGTTTTGTTACACATATGCCTAAATATTTAACTGTGAGGTCCTTTTTTTGGACATTCCTGACTTTCACAGGTAGGCACCTCTCTGCTGACTTTCTTCCAATGAATTACAGTGAATGTCAATCCCTGGGGATGTGTTCCAGAGACTATATCTAGTGTGGTCTGCAGAACAGTGAGGAGATACTTAAGACTGGCCAAAGCTAGCTAAGCTAGTGGAAAGAATTCAGTATTACAAAGGTGTGGCATATGTAATTTTCCCAGCTTCTAAGAGATAACACTGTGGAAGACTAGAAAACACTTCTACAATCTCAGTGCTGTCTACTATTGTTTAGAGGAAAACCACTGTCACGTTTCTACGCAGCACTATGAGCAGAAGCTGAAAAAATTAAACATGAAAGTAGTAACTTAGAAAACAACACTGCTGCGTCTACAAGAAGCGTATGAAACAGTTTCACCTACATGAGACTACCAACAGAAAATATGGCATCCCCACTGATTTATAAACTAGGGCACAGGATAGTAATTTCTATACTTAAATATAGATCATGTATGCTTGTATTATTTTATTTTTAATTCTACTTGCCTTCCTTCTACTTAAGGAAATAGTGATCAAACGTAAATAATTGTAAACTTGCTGGTAGCTACCCCTGGCTATACAACTGTAAGATTTGCAGGAAGTATTAACATACACCAAATTTACATTCTTATTGGTGAAATCATGCTCCCTTCATATTCTGTATCTTTAAAAGAAAAGTTATTAATGGTTGACTCTGATTTTCTTAAAAAGCTCAAGTAGTACTGGTTTTATTTTGCATACCAGTAGACACTTGCGGCATAAACTTGATAATACAGAAGCAGGTATCATCTGTATAGACAGGAGCACTAAATGTCCTCTCAAATAAAAGTGTTCCAAAACCATCACAGGCAATTTCAACAGTCTGGTTTCATAACCCATAACTGACTTATCTGGCTGTTCTAGTTCACAAAACATCTGTTTCACACTTTGACAGTCTAGTTACACTAGGCTACATTTACACCTGACCCAATTTTCAGCCAAGAAAACTAAGATGACAGCTGCTGTTACACAAAAACAGATGCAGTCTCTCCACCTCTACATCAGGTCATGGATGGAGAAGCAGACACCAGCAGATAAGGGCTTCAGCAAAGGGAGAACATCAGCCTTCCCCCTAACACACCCCATTTCCTCTCCTCCAACAATGCTACCATTTCCAGAGCAGTTTACCACCTCCCATTTGCTGCTCAAAAATCTGGAGAGCTGGTTACCATGTTGAGAACATGAACAGTGCTAAGCATGCTGCAGAGTAGCATGAGATGAGTTTAACAGGAAGGCAAAGAGTTTCTCTCCTTCCTGTAAAGCCACACCTGGGTAACAAAAGCAACTTCCCAGACTACAGCTTCTCATGATTCTCTGACCTTAGTGCTCTGTTCAAGCTCATCCTTCTATGACTATTTAAGGCAACTGTATTTCAACTTTACTGAAGATATAAATGCATGTTACTTTATTGCATACCAGAAGTACAAATGAATAAACCATTTCTTCATTACAAACAGTAAGTGTGTTTATTATTTGGTCTGCATACATTACACAGGAAAGCAGTTACAAGTACCTCTCAACTTTCAAACTTCAACTGAACAGAAATAAGCTTTTTCCAAGTTTTTTAACTTTAAAACAAAGAAAACTGATGGGGTGGGGCTGGGAGGGTGTTAAGAAACATTCTTAGCAGATGTTTGAGACATCTGCTGTTGACTGCATGCTTTGGTAAATGAAAGGAGAAAGCCATGACACCACAAGTTAAACCCCAGAAAAAAATCCATCAACTGTTCAATTAAGCCAAATAAAATTATGGCTCTTTGAAGAATAACTACACACAAAGGAAAAGAATCATCCAGGCAGGAATCCCACACCTGAACTATTCAGCTGTAAGAAACTGTAACACATGAAGATGTCATCAATATTTTACATACTTTGATATATTTCAGTTATTTTTTTGAGTTTCAGGATTGAGAGGGGCTTATTTAAATAAACTTTCAGATTACATAAAATATAGGAGAGATTAAGCAAGTACTTAATCCAAAGTGTCATATTTTTAAAAACTAATGTACATCAGCTTTTAAAAATACATCAGCAGTTATTTCTGCTGATCTTTAATGTACACCTTTGAGATAAACTAAAATTAGCTGATGTTTTGGCAAGCAGTAATATAAGGACATAAAAGTCAGTTCAAATGACTACATGAAATTGAAAAGCACTGTTGTGCTGCAACTTATTTCTCAAGATGGGTCTACTTTGGGATGGCAACATCACTGTTGATCTCCCAGAGCTCTCAGAATGTGTAACAATGAAATCCTGATTTATGAAACTAGATATCCTTCAGCTTCTTCAAAACACTCTGGAAGATTTTTCATCCCAGTGCTCTCTGACATACATCAGACATCAGTGTAGCAATTACAGTGGTTTCAAAAATATCCCCAACTTCATTCAGTCAGTCATTTTAGAAGTTTCAACATGTAGAAATACGTATCATAAGAATGTATGACTTCAGTGCACACTTCCAAAAAGAATCAGACTACCCTTGTTGGCAAGACCTTTTCTAAAACACCTTCAATAGAAGAACTGTTTGAATGAAAACATTCATCACAGCTGCTTCCCCAATATGCTTTTTGTTTCACCTCAAATACCAACACACTAAAGTCAAGCCTATTCACGTAGCATTTTCCTTCAGAATAGTTTTCCCATTGCATTGTTTCTCTTATAACGGAGAAATTAAAGTTTCAAAGTTAAGTACCATGATTTCTAGTTAACCCCAAGTTTGTTTTGCAGTGATCACCTTAACGCATTTCAGAGTATGAAAGAATGCTGCACCAAAGCTAGCTTGTGCAAGTACTCTTCTGAGCAGAGATCAGTAGTGCTATGAAGTCATACCTAATGGTTTTACAATGTGTAATCAACATAATGTCTCTCCTATGACTAAGCTGTCACAAGATCAAACTCATTTCCCTTAGTTCTCTAAAGGGGAACCACATGAAATACAACAGCTTTCCTTGACTTCAAGGATTTCTACAGCATCTCATATCCATGCTCCATGTGGCCAAAGGACTTCTCAATCTCCCCAGTCTTCTGTCAACTCAAGCTGACTGAATTAAAAACTTTCTATAAAGTTCTTCTTTTATATCCACTCAATTGCACTGACAGTATCACAACTTACCTTGAAAAACAAAAAATTTCTGAAGAATGAACATTTTCCCCTTACAGTCATCCATCCACTTATTTATAAAATTGAATTCATCCATCCACTTATTTATAAAATAATGAAACTTTTTCCTAGCTTCCAAATTTCATGTAATCCCACCATCACTTGTTCTTAACTAAAGGTGTATTCCAGTTTTACCTTGAAATGCACTGTGATGCTCCAAGGAAGGGCTGTATTTGATGCATGGAGATCAAACAGCAAACCAATTGGGTAATGCCTAAAAATGAAGAGATATTAAATGAACATAAAAGCTGTGCATTAATTCTACACGTAACAGTTAACATACCTGCATTTACATTAAAAAATAAAATAATCGTGTGAGTCAAACAGCTAGTATTCATTATTACTTATTCAGAAAAGTTACACAGACATGTATAAATGACTCACAGCTTCTGCCAGAATCAAGTCTGGAGTTTATACGTTCGATATCTAAACCAGTGGTCTCCAAGCTGTGCCCACAAACCACTACAAGTTTTGCCACAGCATAAGTGGCCCAACAGATGCTCTGTGGAATCCTTCAAAACAGTATTTTTAGTTAAAAGCTTGATAATGTTAGGAATAGCTGGTCTGACAGAAAATACATGCTTCCAGATATTTGCCATAGGTTTATACTGCACTGGCCCTTAACATCTCTTCCCTCTCCCACCTGTAGCTGTGGAAAACAGGTAGTAAAGTGAAAAAATGACATATCTGTGAAAGGCCTGAAAAAAGACAGATCAAGATGAATTCTGTAACTTTACTATCAAATTAAGAGGAACGGAAGGGAAGAAAAAAAGACTAATTGGAATTTTGCATTTCAGTGGTATTCTGGATTAAAGGAGATATATAAAGAAACTGCTTCCTGCAAATATTCACTTCTGTCTTACAGCTTTGTCTCCTTTAAATTCATTAGAAGATACAGCCTCCAGCAACATAAGGAGTATGTATCACACACACAAAACTTCCACGGCACTCCAAAATGCTCTTTATGCAATTTTCTCTCAAGCAGACGCCAGCAAGATTTTTGATATGTATGTTTTGGGGTTTTTTTCTCCCTCCTTCAGCATACCAAACTCCATTCTCTTTATCTTTCAAAAATCTTAACTAGAAGAACCTTACTAGCTTTTCATCCTACAAAGAGACAAACACAGACAACTGTAAACTCAGTAGCTTCACTGAATAAAATGAGACTGATCACAGGAAGAGAGCCAAGAACGTACATAAGATTTGAAAGTCCAGAGAGCAATAACCCAGAGCTGCTGTAAAAGCACCTGTGTCAAATTTCTACTCACACAACAGTGCTTTAGCACCCTCTACGGGTGAGCTAACCCCAAAGGTAAGACAAACTCACTTCAACAGCAAAATAAAAACCGAAATAGTACTATGATTCTTGAACTTACGTATTGTAACTTCTTAAAAGAAAGAATAGGGCAAAATATCTAGAGATATCTAGAAATATCTAGGGAAAGTATCTAGAACCGTGTTTTCCTGACAAAGGGAACAGAGTATACATAATGAATATCTGGATTTATCCAGATTCACTGCTAATGCTCAAGTTTTTTACCGCTAAGACTTTTTACTAAATGCCTATCATGCCTTGAATACTTCAGGGATTCAGCAAGAGTTCCATGAAAGAGTGGTTTTACAGGTGAGCTACATAACAAAAATCAAATATCCTTTGATAATTAGATGAACATGAACAATGACTTTCAGGTACTTTCAATTTATACAACAAAATAGATAGCTACAAAGAAAAAAAAAAGTATCAGTTCTTGACCTACCTTCACATTTTCTACTCAGATGAGATTACAAAATGAAGTTTGTGTACTCCAATTTTCTTTGGTAAAATCCTTGTGCTTTGCACAGTTGATAGATGGTTTTTATTTTGAAAGAGGCCAGCCCTAAATTAATTTTGTTCCACAGCAGAACACATGGGATTAATGAAGACATTAGACCACAAGAGAAATAATTTTCCATTCAGGAGCACAGTCTTCCATTAAGAGTAAAGTTCGTAAAAGGAGTGAAGCAATCCTGAGATACAAAACATGTCCTGCTTCAAATTCTAGTTCTCACACACCACCATTTAATCTGAAGCCAATAGAAGCCTTAAGTAATGCCTGTACATAATGCTGTGTTTCACTTTTTTTTTTTGAGATACAGTTACAAGCATTTTTTATTGTTATATTCTATATAACAATACTAAAGCTGCTATTTATATTTCTGTGATAATAAAACCTGGTTTCTTAACCAGGATAGAGAATTAAGGGAGGAGCAAAGAGAGAAGTTAAGAAAAGAGGACTTTGTCAATGTCTACATGGAATAAAAACCCCCAACATTCTTCCACTCCATTCTTAAGCATGTATCTATCTACCCTGTGCTATGAGCTGATATTGCCTCATTAGAGATGTTGCTTCCAGTAGTACTGCTGCAATGCTGTTTCTGAAATTCTATTTGAAAAATAGGCATAGCAAGTGAAGAAACACTCAAATGCTCTCTAGAACCTACAGCAACCAGGAGAATTAAGAAAAACCAAACAACTGCTGAAGGAAACATCCAGCCCAGAAAGGTATAATTTTGAAAAAATATTAGTGCTGAATTGCTCTTACCTAGTATGGGAGCCAAGGACAGGCAGACTGGGCAGAACTTTCTCAAAGGAAATGATGGGAAAAATATAAAAATGAACATGTCTAAGAGACAACAAATCTTTTTTTATGAGATGCTAGAATAATGACTGGTTCTGCAAAGTCTTCAATCTATAGAAGTATAAGAACACCCTGACTGCCAGACATTGTCAATTTATTACTGCTTTTATTATTACAGAGAGGGGGCTTCAGAGTGTGAGAGAAGTCCTGGGAAACACCACTTTTAAGTACCTAATATCCTTTTGAAAGTAAGGAAAATTAATTACTATTTTTCTAACAATTTTTTTCTGAACCCAGGACAGAAAGTCACAGCATGAGTTGGTAGGTTGTTTTCAAACCAGAATAATTTACTGTGACAATTCAGTAAAATATGTCACATGAACGGATAACTCCGGGACAAAAAAAAATTCCTATGTTCCAGAACTGAGGTATTATTAAGCACCAAATCGCCAAAATCTGGTGTTTAGGTATTTCTATAAACAAATGTCTCACTCAGGGAAATTTTGGCTGTATCAGAAAATAATCTCACCTTACCCTTTAGTATTCAGAAAACTGTATTTTCCTTAGGTCTTTTAAGTAAACACTAGCATTTTCAAACAATGTCAGCTATGGCTGATCACAGAGTGCTTTGACTATTTGTCTTCCACTGATTCTTGATTAGGAAGGGTCAATCATCCATTCAATTGGTACTAGAGATACCCCTATGCAACTTCCAGGGCCAGAGCACAACTCAGAGAAAGGGGATAGAAACTCTGCTGAAGACTATGTGTAAGTGTCCAACTAGGATGGTAACAAGCTATAGAGTGCCATCCCCCAGCACCTGCCGAAGAAACCACTCTTGGAACATCAGAGGCCTTCACTCAGGCAGAGCTCCTGACAGAGGATGCAGCTCTCCAGGTGTCAAGCTGCCGTAAGAGCTTGAGACCCTCTCCCAAGTACTGGTGCAAGCAGAAACGTCCTTGCCTAGAGGAAGTGTATGTTAGTGCAGGAGCTCTGTCAACAAGTTAAGGAGTTGCAGGAGCTCAGTGGGCTGCACAGTGTCAGGGAAGATAGAAATGGATGGCATCTTCACTGAGACCTTGCACAGATGACTCCCAGCTGCGCAGAACGAGGGTACGCAGTCACTGGAGTGGTGGAGATATGGAAGACTGGAATCTTGCAACCTCTGGCAACAGAAGGCAGCCTCCTTTTCCACCTGCAGTAAGTGCCTCAGTGGCAGACAAGGGGCTGGAAGTTCTGAGGAAGCATCATAGCAGCCTGAACAGCACATCCGCACCAAAAGGAAACCATCACAGCAATAGAAGACTCCCTTCTACAAGGAATAAACTATCTGTTCCCCCATCTGACATTCTCACTTGTCACCTGTGGAGGTTTGCTGCTTGTTAAGAAGTTGCAGACAGACTGTCAAGGTTTGTTCTGTGCTTGGTTTATTAGCCACATGTTCAAACACATGGGCACAAATCCTAAGTGCTGCAAGGGCACCCTTGAGAGTATCATGAGTTACTGACTATACAGCTCCAGGGCCAAGATGGCATCCCCAGGATTTCATCACTGAAGGAGAAAGGCTCAGAGAGGCGTGAATACTGGTCAATAGCTGCAGGTCACTAACCGGTTGTGCAGCTGGTGTGACAGCAAGGACTTGGCTTGTTGCCACAGGACTCTCTGGGTATAAACGACTGCTAGGGAGGGCTGGAATCCACCTAACTGGGACAAAAGTATTTTTGCCTTCAGGTTGGCTCGCCTGCTAAGGAGAGCTTCAGTGCATCAACGTCAGAGGTATCAGTCCCTTACCTGCAGCCAGAGCACTGAACCTATGTGGTAGTTACAGGTGGAGAAGGAGCCTTCCTACTGTTGCCAGAAGTCATAAGCTTCCAGCCCTTCCATATCTAAGGAGACTACTTTCCAATCCAATAATTGCAGACTCAACCTGTATCTCCTTCAATGTAGTTGTAGGTTTAGGCTCCTATAGCTGCAGGGTCTCTAAGAGGATTTGATCCATTTCCTTTGATGTTGCACAGTCTGATGATCTCTTCCTTTAGCTCCTTACCATGGTGACACAGACTCTCACCCAACACACACCTCCTGCAGACATATTCCCCTGCCCCAGCAACTGCAGTGGGAGGCCCCAGGCCCCTGTAACTCCAGACCTGGAGAGCTTCATCCTCCTTCAGGAGGTTGTCCTGAGTGCTTCAGACAATGAAGTTGAAATGATGTTTCAGACTTCCTCAAAAATCTCTCTGGAAAACAGAAATGCTGCAGCTGAAGAGAGACATGCTACATCCCAAACAGGTATGAAACCGCACAGGCTGTAAGCAGTATGACCTCACGGTGCAAAATAAATAATTAGAATAAGTAATATTATTAGCAAGTTCTATTTGATTCTGAATGCAAAAGTTACACTGAAGAAGATTAAGCATTAATGGT